AGGCACGGTAGTCTAGTGGTACGACACCGGGCTTGTGACCGAAGGGTTGCGGGTTCGAGTCACGCCACGGTATTGTGCTGTATCTTTGAGCAAGATACTTTACTCCGCTTGTTCCAGTCTACTCAGCTGTAAATGAGTACGTGGTCGGGTAGTGCTAGAATTGTTGAATGCTAGCTGTGAGCGCCGGAATTGCAGCACCCCAGGGAGTTGAGAAAGATATTGGCTTGTTGAAAAGGCCCTCTAACCACGGATTATAATTTGTGAACCGCTTTGAGACCGCCTACAAATACAAACTAGGCTGTGATAAAGCGGTATATAAGAACCTCGAATTATTACTATTATTTGTAATTCATCGTAGCTAGGGTTAAACCGATTTGCCGTGTTTCGGGTCTTCCTAGAGGTGCCATCCCTCCGCTCTTCTCTAATACCGCCTTCAACATCTTGATGCGCTAAGGATAAACGTTAGGTTACCATTTTTAGGACCTATAGGACAGACGACTCCTATCTTCCCCACCTCTATTCTCTCCTTTCCTACATACTTTATCCCTCCTATTTCCTTTTCTATCTGTTCTCGTCTACTGAAAGGCCGCAAGGCTGTAATAGCGGATGTAAGACCTTTCAAAATCAAATCAATTATTATTATTATTAGTCATGCTAAGGAGGGAACTAGACTTGTAAAATCAATGTGAACATGATTATCACACTACTAGTGGTTTATTACTACCTGTCATTGTGTACTATATATACACGTGTACAGGTTTGGATAGGCGGAGACTATTACACTACTAGTGGTTTATTACTACCCGTCATTGTGTACTATATACACGTGCAGAGGTTTGGATGGGCGGAGACTATTACACTACTAGTGGTTTATTACTACCCGTAATTGTGTACTATATACACGTGCAGAGGTTTGGATGGGCGGAGACTATTACACTACTAGTGGTTTATTACTACCCGTCATTGTGTACTACATATACACGTGTAGAGGTTTGGATGGGCGGAGACTATTACACTACTAGTGGTTTATTACTACCCGTCATTGTGTACTACATATACACGTGTAGAGGTTTGGATGGGCGGAGACTATTACACTACTAGTGGTTTATTACTACCCGTCATTGTGTACTACATATACACGTGTAGAGGTTTGGATGGGCGGAGACTATTACACTACTAGTGGTTTATTACTACCCGTCATTGTGTACTACATATACACGTGTAGAGGTTTGGATGGGCGGAGACTATTACACTACTAGTGGTTTATTACTACCCGTCATTGTGTACTACATATACACGTGTAGAGGTTTGGATGGGCGGAGACTATTACACTACTAGTGGTTTATTACTACCCGTCATTGTGTACTACATATACACGTGTAGAGGTTTGGATGGGCGGAGACTATTACACTACTAGTGGTTTATTACTACCCGTCATTGTGTACTACATATACACGTGTAGAGGTTTGGATGGGCGGAGACTATTACACTACTAGTGGTTTATTACTACCCGTCATTGTGTACTACATATACACGTGTAGAGGTTTGGATGGGCGGAGACTATTACACTACTAGTGGTTTATTACTACCCGTCATTGTGTACTACATATACACGTGTAGAGGTTTGGATGGGCGGAGACTATTACACTACTAGTGGTTTATTACTACCCGTCATTGTGTACTACATATACACGTGTAGAGGTTTGGATGGGCGGAGACTATTACACTACTAGTGGTTTATTACTACCCGTCATTGTGTACTACATATACACGTGTAGAGGTTTGGATGGGCGGAGACTATTACACTACTAGTGGTTTATTACTACCCGTCATTGTGTACTACATATACACGTGTAGAGGTTTGGATGGGCGGAGACTATTACACTACTAGTGGTTTATTACTACACGTCATTGTGTACTACATATACACGTGTAGAGGTTTGGATGGGCGGAGACTTTTACACTACTAGTGGTTTATTACTACCCGTCATTGTGTACTACATATACACGTGTACAGGTTTGGATGGCCGGAGACTATTACACTACTAGTGGTTTATTACTGCAGGTCATTGTGTACTATATATACACGTGTACATGTTTGGATGGCCGGAGACTATTACACTACTAGTGGTTTATTACTACCCGTCATTGTGTACTATATACACGTGTAGAGGTTTGGATGGTCGGGGACTTTTACACTACTAGTGGTTTATTACTACCCGTCATTGTGTACTATATACACGTGTACAGGTTCAGATGGCCGGAGACTATTACACTACTAGTGGTTTATTTGTACGCTAATTCCACAGCTCTGGCAAAATTAATAACAGCTCATATGTTGTTACTGCGATAATGACATAATATTATACAATTATGGACTTTTGTGCTGGTGAATATGATGTGATATGAACCTGAAAAGTGATATTGACTGAGGCGCCTCAGTCAATATCACTCTTTCAGGTTCATATCACATCATATTCACCAGCACAAAAGCCCATAACTGTTTTATAATATGCTTCAACAATAAAATAAAACGAAACAAAACTAAAGGTTCTGATATTTGTACGCGAGCCTCCGTGTAAAATTTAGCCAGGTTTGAATACAACAGTTCATCATTGTAGCTTTCGAAGGCATCGTCCAGATTCTTTTTCTTAAGATAAGCATGGAGGACATGCATGCACTGCTTGTTCAATGGCCTTTTTTTTACGTTAACAGCATCTTTATCCTCGAATAGTTTTGGTAATTTTCCTTACGGAGGAGAAACGTTCGCCAGCAGCCATCTCCTAATGTCGTCTGACAGATCGCGTTTCAGTCTAACTGCGCATGCGCTACGACAGGTTTCTGAGAATTTCCATACAAGCTATATTTAGAAATTGATATTCACCGGATAACCAGTCTACATGAGTTTTTGAGGACTGGTCACGTGTATAGGATCCGACCAATGTGATTGCGAGAAATGTTCATGCATATAAAAATAGTCGTTAATGATGCTACGTAACGTAATGTTTGTAATATTACGAATGCCATAGTTAAAAACCTTGGTTTTCACCCAAACCTGATGGCTTATAACACGTTCGTATATATTACAGGCTGTGCACTCCTAATACATTGCATTGTGCACAAATGACAAATGAAGAAATCATGTGTAAACTGTAGTGGCATTGCTTGCGCCTGTCCGACCCTAAGAGATAACCTTCCATTAATAATAACTGTGTATATCACTGTCACTGATTCATCTATCACAAACTGTGTATATCACTGTGATTAACTCATTTGTCACTAGCTGTGTATATCACTGTAACTGACCCATCTGTCACTAGCTGTGTTTATGACTGTGACTGACCCATCTGTCACTAGCTGTGTATATCACTGTGACTGACCCATCTGTCACTAGCTGTGTATATCTGTGTGACTGACCCATCTGTCACTAGTTGTGTATATCACTATGACTGACCCATCTGTCACTAGCTGTGTATGTCTGTGTGACTGACCCATTTGTTACTAGCTGTGTATATCACTGTGACTGACCTATCTGTAACTAGCTGTGTATGTCTGTGTGACTGGCCATTCTGTTACTAGCTGTGTATATATGTGTGACTGACCCATCTGTCAGTAGCTGTGTATATCTGTGTGACTGACCCATCTGTCACTAGCTGTGTATATCTGTGTGACTGGCCCTTCTGTAACTTGCTGTGTATATAACTGTGACTGACCCATCTGTCACTAGCTGTGTATATCACTGTGACTGACCCATTTGTCACTAGATGTGTATATCTGTGTGACTGACCCATCTGTCACTAGCTGTGTATATCTGTGTGACTGACCCATCTGTCACTAGCTGTGCTTGTCTGCACTATTTATCCCTGCAGCAGTCTTCATGTCAATCACTGTGCGACTTAAACAAGGTTCTATTGATGCAGTGTGTTGCTCTGCTCTCTCCTGATATCTACTGCGTGTACATATGCTTTGTAGACGGTTCTGTTTTCTTTCATTAAGTGTCTAATCACCGGTCCATTTTTTGCTACAAATTGCCACCATGTAAATCAAGTTTTGTTATTGAAAAATAAAAATACTATTGAAAAATAGAAATCTCAACAATGTAGCAACATATGTTTGCGACCATACTTTTTCATTATTTAATTTAACTTGTGTTTTATATGGATTTTTTGTTATTTGATTAGTTTATCTAGATTTTATGTCAAGTTTCCATGTTTCTTTGTTTTTGTTATTTGATGTTACAATTTTAACTTCAGCGTGCCAAGTATTGAAAGGGAAAGAAGGACATACAATATAAATCGATTTCAATAGAATTCCACGAGTAACATCTACGTGTACTAAACATACTCATTCCAACATAGTGAATAGCGCGCTCCCCTTCCACCGAGACGGTCAGGGTTCGAATCCCCGATCAGACTTAGAAATAAAGGTATTGGGAACCTGCCCGACCATTTTGGTTTTCTCTGTAGCCCGCTTTCCTCCCACCCTAAGACCCTCTGCGCCCTTTTATCAAAGACAACAAGATGCACATGGGGGAGACTGAAGGTCGAACTGAAATATGTGTTCCATATCACATGTACGCACGAGTAGGCTTGGTTGTTTGAAATTTAATAAATTCTTCAATATAAACATAGTTTTAGTTCCACTTGCTCGCCCAGGGAAAATACACTCCAGCATAAAACGATAGCGGGACCATGCCTGCCAACTGTATATGACGTTAAGCGATTTGAAATAAAATTATTGGGTTATAAATATGATTTTATAAAATATTAAATCTAAATATATATATATATATATATGCCAAGCAGTCGATACAAACACGGTTAGGACACGGGCCATCATGTAAGTGGCGCGTGCACACTGATAAGGTGCCATGAGACTATGACGAGAACAGACGCCAAATTCTCCGGCAATATCCCTCATCATTATCGATTCTAAACAAGGCTTCGTCAGCCACAAATAACATCACTCATCAAAATTTATTTATTTGGGGTTAGCTGTGGGCTGTTATGGTTGCATTGGGTTTAACTGGCATTACTGGCTGTAGACTGTATTGATGTCTATGGACGTACGGTCCTGATCACCAGGAGAGATGAGGACAGTGCTTAAGATTACACTTGTTCTTGCCAATGTTGGCCTTTGTCTGGGTAAGTTCAATACATGTACAGTTTTCAGTTTTTTCCTTCAAAATATATTTTTGTAAATTCTCGATACCGAACCCTTTATCAATTATTATGCATAATCGAATTTCGGTACTCGGCTCAAAAAATAAATTTCTGATAAGGGGTTTTGGAAATCAACAATGCTAACTAATGAATTTAATAAGTTACTATTTTAACACAACATTCTTATACCTATATATACATTCAGATTGCACTGTATGATACAGTTTGTCATGGGTTTGTTTATCACAGATTGTAATCGTTATTGATACATGTACTAGAAATATCCCACGTCCACTACTCATGGTTCGCCAAATAGCAGAGCCAGTTCTAAGCTTTTAACTAGTAACGCAAGAAATGCAAAATGCCATATATGATGTTTAGATGTACATAGATATGAATGAAATTTGATCAGCGATACAATTAGCCCAATTATTGAAGTTGCGAAGGTGTCAGATCAAAGCCATATGTGAATGTAACCAAATGGAAGAAAAATAAGGCATGGATAGACAGAAGTTAGAAAGGAACTTGTTTAAAGAGCGTTCGGGAGTTACATGTATCATTCTACCTTGGCCGTCTTCATGTTACAGGAACAGGTATGACAAAGGAAGGGTGTGAATTGGGCTGGACTCATCACAAACGTTTCTGTTACCAGTTCAACGTTCACCCTGTAGAGTTTATTACTGCTAGGGAGATCTGTAGTACAAAAGATGCCCAGCTAGTCAGCATATGGAACTTTGCTGAGGAGGAGTTTGTTCTAGACAAACTCTGGCAGGTAGGTACGGGGATAACCTTTATGGAGGTGTATGTTACAACAGACTATGACAGGTAGGTACGGGGATACACCTTTACAGAGGCGTATGTTACAACAGACTGTGACAGGTATGTACGTGGATAACCTTTACAGAGGGGAATGGTACAACAGACTGTGGCAGGTAGGTACGGGTATAACCTTTACGGAGGTGTATTTTACAACAAAATATGGCAGGGAGGGACGGGGAAAACCTTTATGGAGGTGTATGTTACAACAGACTGTGACAGGTAGGTACGGTATAACCTTTACAGAAGGGTATGTTACGACAGACTGTGGCAGGAAGGTACGGGGATAAACCTTTACAGAGGGGTATGTTACAACAGACTGTGGCAGGTAGGTACGGGGCTAACCTTTACGGAGATGTATGGTACAACAGACTGTGGCAGGTAGGTACGGGTATAACCTTTACGGAGGTGTATTTTACAACAAAATATGGCAGGTAGGTACGGGGATAACCTTTATGGAGGTGTATGTTACAACAGACAGTGGCATGTATATACGGTATAACCTTTATGGAGGTGTATGTTACAACAGACTGTGACAGGTAGGTACGGTATAACCTTTACAGAAGGGTATGTTACGACAGACTGTGGCAGGAAGGTACGGGGATAAACCTTTACAGAGGGGTATGTTACAACAGACTGTGGCAGGTAGGTACGGGGATAACCTTTACGGAGGGGTATGTTACAACAGACTATGACAGGTAGGTACGGGGATAACCTTTATGGAGGTGTATGTTACAACAGACAGTGGCAGGTAGGTACGGTATAACCTTTACAGAAGGGTATGTTACAACAGACTGTGGCAGGTAGGTACGGGGATAAACCTTTACAGAGGGGTATGCTACAACAGACTGTGGCAGGTAAGTACGGGAATAAACCTTTACAGAGGGGAATGGTACAACAGACTATGGCAAGTAGGTACATGGATAAACCTTTACAGAGGGGTATGTTACAACATACTGTGGCAGGTAGGTACGGGTATAACCTTTATGGAGGTGTATGTTACAACAGACTGTGGCAGGTAGGTACGGGGATAAACCTTTACAGAGGGGTATGTTACAACAGACTATGGCAGGTAGGTACGGGGATAAACCTTTACAGAGGGGTATGTTACAACAGACTATGTCAGGTAGGTACATGGATAAACCTTTACAGACGGGTATGTTGCAACAGTCTATGACAGGTAGGTACGGGGATAAACCTTTACAGAGGGGTATGCTACAACAGACCGTGGCAGGTAAGTACGGGGATAAACCTTTACAGAGGGGAATGGTACAACAGACTATGGCAAGTAGGTACATGGATAACCCTTTACAGAGGGGTATGTTACAACATACTGTGGCAGGTAGGTACGGGTATAACCTTTATGGAGGTGTATGTTACAACAGACTGTGGCAGGTAGGTACGGGGATAAACCTTTACAGAGGGGAATGGCACACCAGACTATGGCAGGTAGGTACATGGATAAACCTTTACAGAGGGGCATGTTACAACATATTGTGGCAGGGAGATACGTGGATAAACCTTTACCGAGGGGTATGTGCACAACAGACTATGGCAGGAAGGTACGTAGATAACATCTATGGAGTCGTGTGTTTTCAACAGACAGGTACTTACGGGAGTAAATTACGCTGGAGGTGTAAGTTCACAGGCGGTTTTTCACCAACCTTGTTTTTGGAATTAGGGGATAGTACGTTGTTTTTGCTATACTAGCGATTACAACATACACTTTGGTTTGAACTCGACACCGATAGGTCGATAGTTTAAACCAAATTTCACGTTGTTATCGGCAGTGAAGAAACGAAAAACAATGCGCTATCCCAATTCTAACTTACCATAACAAATATACTACGCTAATATGTTTAGAAACATTGTATTAACGTTACATAGTAAAGTACTCCGTGACCATCACAAATATACTACGCTAATATGTTTAGAAACATTGTATTAACGTTACATAGTAAAGAACCCTGTGACCTGTTGTTGTGACGTGTCATTCTGCAGCGGACTGACCAATCAGAAAAAAGATTTCAAAAGTCATCATTTGGCACTGCCCAAACTAGCGAGCCCTCGATCTATGTGCTAACGAGGCGGAATATTTGGATTGTTCGTGAACTTCCAGTTGCCAATGTTTAAACGACACATTTCGATGAACGTTGACCAAACTCCCTCATTTCCTTGTCAATATGTGTGCCTTTCTGTGCGCATCGACAAAATCGGTGATTATTTTTTTAGATCTGTGAAGAGTTTTGTGAAAATTCATACTGCACATGTGAAATGTTTCGTTTAATTTCGGATCTTACTAGATGCCTACACGCGGAGGGAACGAACCTTTCAATAATATATATAGGTAAGAACAAGGAATATTTATTACTTATTTTTAATTTATTTAACAAATACATTTCATCTGTCCGTTCTGTTGTTGCCTGCTAGCCTTATATGCGGGATTTCGCTAAGAGGCGACCTTGCCGCCATATTGTTATGGTTCGAAACCTGCTGTGGCTTAAGTGCAGTGGGAGGAGCTTAACACAATTGATCATAATTCTATCGCAGATTAGAACATGGTCCGTATCCAATCAAAAACACGCTTTGCAAACGAATCGTATTAGAATGATAGTTAGATCTTGAGGATAAATACTTAAACTAGAGAAGGGACTGAGAGTGCATGTGGAATTTCACCAACATTTCTTCAAATGAATCTCTGATAATGAGGATCAGCTAATCATCAACTTCGGATGTGATCAAAATTTTTACACAGAAAGGGGCTAACCCTCCAGGGGCCTGAATGGGTCAAAATGGGTCAAATTGGCTAAAATTTCAACAATACTCTTCCATAGACCCAGACAAGTTAGAATAAAATCCTCTTCACGGGTGAGTTCAGTGCAGTATTTTTTGATCATTTTACTGATATCATTCGTTAAGTCTATATATATATGGTCACTCCCACAATACCACTATAACAAGTAACAATTGTGATTTAACACAGGTGGCCATTACGATCCATGTATCCATTGTTCTAATAACGGTTTTATTTACACGTTTGTTTTCCTTAAACGTATACTAGGGCCATAAAGTAAATTATGTCACTAGTGTCAGTAATCACATAAATAATGTATATAGATTCACTTTTCTATTACAATCCTTCGAAGGATCCTCCTCAGCAGAAACGTACTTTCAAAATCGCGCTTCCCATGATGTAATTAATGCACGGTAGTTTCCCCTTGGTAAACAGGCAAGTCACTGAAAGATTGCACTACCAAGAACACACCAAGAGGCATGCTGTTACCCAAAGAGCATATTCTTTAGTAAAGGAACTCGGAATTGTCACGAAGACTTAGATCTAGTGAATAGGGTTGGTCGTCAATCTGTTCTACATTTTTGTATCTTCTTGTGCTTCAAAACACTTGACAATATTATGTTTGTGTGATGAAGCATTGTCGTGAAAAAGATTGATGCCATTAAACGCTTTACTTGGACGCTTTATTACTAAGAGGTTTTTGACAGACTTTGGTACTTTGTCTTGACAGAGAGAGATTGCCCATCCTTGCACTGTGTCTGAACCACAGGCAAAAAAGAGCCAAACAATGGCATACATGTAAAAAAAACTTTCTTTGAACTTTTTATACGTCCTGTAATCCCTGGCCTTCCTTGATATCTCGACAGCCATCGCTTGTTATTAATGCGCCTCTGGGGTTCAAAGTAAAAGGCCGTGGCCTCATCCCCTGTCAGTAGCTTAAATTACCTTTGCAATATATATTTAAAGTACATTTCATACGTTTAGTCTTTTGTTAAGAAGGAAGTTAAATGGGTAATCCCTCGGGCACAAAGCTTCTTTAATTTCAAGAACTTCGTTATAATGTTATTGTACTACCTTCTGAAACGCCAACGGTATGAGCTATCGCAGAAACAGCATAAGGACCATTGTCCTTAAGTATTGCTTTCCCAGTAGTATACTCCTTTTGATGCTGCAACAACTGGGCTGCCTGGCCGTGTGTCCTCTTTGTTGTCAACGCTAACATGTTTGACTTTAACCCACATAAAACATTTCTCAATGACGACAGAGGTGCCTTTTTATGTTGCACAACTCTGCATGCATCTGTTATGGTGGTATCTATTAAGCTCATCGTGCTTTGATATAGGAGCGCATACCAGATTTAGTATCAACTTTCATTTTAGCATTGAAAAGCTAGTATCGAGGGCTTACTATTCACGATGAATAACTTGTTCAAATCTTGTCGGATGATATCAAAATTTTGCACGTGTATTAATCTTTAAATACGTTTGCAGTCTGCCAGGCGCCAAACAATTGTATTGCTCGTTAGTGGGGCCGCGGTGGTCAAGTTGGCAAGTCGTCTGACCGTCTTAATCACTATAGCAATCCACCACTGGGTCGCGGGTTCGAGATCTACGTAGGGCAGTCGCCAGGTACTGACCGCAGGTCATTGGTTTTTCTCCGACTCCGTCTTTACTCAACCACCAAAACCTGGCATATCTTTAAATGTCAATACATGTAGCTGTAAATAGGACGTAAAAAAACAACCAAACCAAGGCCCGTTAGCACGGGAGCTGTGTGGTGACAGAATTTATAGAATGGTCCTCCTACAATACTGTAAGTGTGTTGTACGGTAATGATTTTAGATAGTAGTGAAAAATAGAAACAAATGCATTTGCCACGTTTTTTTCAACAAAATGGTTCTAAAATGAAAAATAGCAGGCAAACCTCTATATGTCCAATATCAAATCAAAACAATCATTGTACTCATAGAAGTTACAAAAACACTTCTTGCTTAATTAGTCACGATTTCATTTCTTCCAAAAAAAGAAGACAAGGTCATTTTTTAATGTTCCTTATGCAAGTTTTCTGCCCTTGAAATTCCTTTTTTATCAAGATGCAGAAAAGCAATACGTTTAATTATTTTGGATAATTCATATATCATAAATAGTTTTCTGATACACATATTCGGGAATGGAGATCACGTGTTTAAAATAGTAACTAAGGGTCGAATGTTACTGATCTTTTGTTATCGTTTCTTTAGGGAACTGACAAAGCTCACCTGTCATGGCTTGGCTTCACGTTCGACCCAGAGGGTAAAAAACAGAGGTATAGCTGGATCGACGGATCGCTCTCTGACTATTTGGATAAAGGTATTATCTTTGTTACATAGCCTGTTCTTACTCTTCGTTTTAGACTTATCCTAGTTGCTGTATTTCTCAAAGTGTAATAAATGCTTTTTAGTTGCGATCTCTGAGTAAGTAATACCACCGAGAAATATTGTTATATCATCACGTTAATGACTAAAATACTTCTCATTAATCATATGAACTGAAAATAAAACATCAATTCATGATATTAGCCATCATAACGAGGTATTTCATACTTTTTTTCATACCACTGCAGATATGCCTGATACTGATTTACCCTTGTGTGGAACTATTAAGGGAACTGGAGAACGTCAGTTTTGGGACTGTGAGGAACGCATGTCCGCATTCATATGCAAAAAATGTAAGTGTTATTCCAAATAAGAGTCAGATCTAAGTAAATGTCAGCTTCTAGTAGATGTCAGCGTCAACTACTCAAAGTATTTGTCAGTTCTTATTTGATATTAGTTTTTAGTTTATATCAGTTCTTAGTTAATGTCAGTTCCAAAAAAGTATCGGCATCAAATGAATATCAGAGTCAGGAAGGCGTTATTTCCAAATGTGACCACTCATAACTGATATTGCGGGAACAAATTAGACGGAGGTCAAGTATCATGCTGTTACATGGTATCGCCTAGAGCCAGAGTAATCAAAGTATGGTGAAACATGTTTCATGGTAACGCCTAGAGGCAGGTTAATCAAATATCGTGCTGTTTCATGGTAACGCCTAGAGGCAGGTTAATCAAATATCGTGCTGTTTCATGGTAACGCCTAGAGGCAGGTTAATCAAATATCGTGCTATTTCATGGTAACGCCTACAGGCAGGTTAATCAAATATCGTGCTGTTTCATGGTAACGCCTAGAGGCAGGTTAATCAAATATCGTGCTGTTTCATGGTAACGCCTAGAGACAGACTAATCAAAGTATCGTGCTGTTTCATGGTAAAACCTAGAGGCAGATTAATCAAGGTATCCTGATATTTCAAGGTTATGCCTAAAGGCAGATTAATCAAAGGATCGTGCTGTTTCATGGTAACGCCTAGAGGCTGATTATTCAAAGTATCGGGCTGTTTCATGGTAACGCCTAGAGGCAGACTAATCAAAGTATCGTGCTGTTTCATGGCAACGCCTAGAGGCTGAGTATTCAAAGTATCGGGCTGTTTCATGGGAACGCTTAGAGGCAGATTAATCAAAGCATCGTGCTGTTTCATGGTAACGCCTAGAGGCTGATTATTCAAAGTATCAGGCTGTTTCATGGTAACGCTTAGAGGCAGATTAATCAAAGTATCGTGCTGTTTCATGGTAACGCACGGAGGCAGATTAATCAAAGTATCGTGCTGTTTCATGGTAACGTCTTAAGGCAGATTAATCAAAGTATCGTGCTGTTTCATTGTAACGCCTTAAGGCAAATCATGTCAATGTATTGTGCTGTTTTATTGTAAAGTTCAGAGAATGCTACTTTTTGAGGGTAAATCACCGGAAAGGAGCCTGCAGCTTTTCGCGGTGATATTTACATGGAAATTTGTCAGAGCCTACTGCTGTTTCGGATGAACTTTTTTGAGAAATTACAGTTTTGAAGTATATATGGCAATATCATGTTCAATGTAAATCGAAGCTGTATGCCATCATTGTTTTGATGTGATAGTATATACATGTATGATTTGAACTTTGCGTTTTCATAGGAAAACAATTGTTTTAAAAAACACAAATATGATATTTATATACTCCTGAAAAAAACCCATGTATTTTAATCACATGTGATCAATAGATAATTTTTGTGTGGTTCACTTTTGATCATTTTTTTTCCCTATCAAAAATTGAATTACACAAGACTGTACACTGATTAACATGAAATTAATTGAAAAATGTCTAGCTGGTATCGTCCATCGTATAAATCAATGTTACTCGAAACAACCAACGTCAAAATATGTACATGCAGCTAAACATTTGTGTTTTTCGTTGAATCACTGCAATAAATTAGAACCTATCGAAAATGATAATCAATTAAATATTGACATGGTTTATCATAATTTATATACAAACTTTGGTAAGGTATTGTCCGTATGTTCCGGGTTAAGATAAGGAAACTATCTCCTATATATTCATTATCTTTTTATAAATGATTGTGTTTCCTGCATTAAAGCTCTCTTGTTTTCTTTTCAATGCCAGCACTTCAGATGGCCTATGTTGTCAGCGAAGTTTTCAATACCAGTTACGTCAACATGTACAGATCCGAAGATCCCGAAAGAATGCTGTTCGAACGTGTTTGGCCACCGAAGCTCGAGGAGGTTCCCAAACATCTGACACGAATAGCTACTGCACAGGTGTCGCAGGAAACAGATTGTGCTAACCGTTGTTTCCACGTGGATGATTGTCGTGGGTTTATGTTGACTTGCTTATCTGCCTGGAAATGTAATCAGTTTTCGTGTGATCTTTATCAGCCAGCAAATAACTAAATATGGACCTTTGTGCAATTCAATGCTCAACTATCCGTCCATCTTAAATGCGGGGCCGATGTGACAAAATGGCGGTTTATTTTGTCTTGTAAAGTAACAGAAACGAAGTTCGAATCCGTTAAACTTCTTGCCAAGTATTTGTTAACTGATTTTGTTATATCTCTTAATCGATAAACTAAGACAAAAATGTGTACTAGCACTCTTCGCTCTGGTATTTGTTATTTACATCTTTGTTCAAGTAAACATCCTAATACCGAACCTCTTGTTGTTCCTTACAGAAATACTCTTGTATTTATAACTACATGTTAAATACGTGTTGATCGAAAATGTTTTTACAGTCTCATTGTATTGGTGTGAGAATCAAAGTACTGAAAGTAATCAAGACACATGGTCTCCTGTTGTTGTAATATTTCCATATCTTTTTGAAGGAAGATCGAATACAAAACAATACATTAGATAGTTGAGATGCAGTTTTTATTCCATACCAATTCGTTGAAACTAGCTTGATATTTATACTTTCCATACCTGTGATGGAAACATTATGAAATTTCCCTCGGAGGTACTTAGACCAACCTGACGTACTGTTTCCTGGCTTCTTGCAAAAGTACTTATGGTAAAATCCAAAGTAACTGTCATTACTTTTGCAATATTTTTTTTAGTTCCTTTTGGTAAGGGCAATTCCATAGATGTTCTGTAAGCAAGTAGCGCGCATGTCTCAGAATATATCGTCTCTAGGTCAACTAAGGATTTTGAACACTTTTTAGTAACACTCACATAGCAAGGTTTTTTAAAATTTTGTTTAAGATCCCAGTCCAAATGCACTGTGTGTATTCTGTGTTTAACTTTAGACCTGTTGGGCCACGACACTGCCGTAGACCAGGGAGCCCTAGGTTCGGTTAGAGCGATAGTATATCATTCTGCTACCCAGTGTTCGAGTCCCGGTCCAGACCCGCTGAATGTTTTTCAGAAATGATTAATCTTACAGCTATAGTAATGCCGGTAATCAGCTTCCTACACTTTGTTACTGGTGTTTGCAGTGGTACAGGGAGCCCTAGGGACCTATTTACAGCGAAGTTAATTTAAGGATATTCCTCCATGTAGGTTATGTATGCTTGGATTTGTGTATGTGTGTTCGGAGTAGGCTATGTTGGTGAAATTGCCATCTGGCGATAATAATAATAATAATAATAATAATAATAATAATAATAATAATAATAATTCGAGGTTCTTATATACCGCTTTATCACAACCTAGTTCGTACGTCGTCTCAAAGTGATTCACAAATTATTATCCGTGGTCATAGGGCCTTTGCGACCAGCCAATACCTTTCTCAACTCCCTGGGGAGAATACAGTCGGAGCTGCCATTTCGGCGCTAATTATAACAGTAAGCATTCAAAAATTCTAGCACTGCCCAACCATGAACTCATTTACAGCTGAGTAGATTTGAACAAGCGGAGTAAAGTATCTTGCTCAAAGATACAAGACAGTGCCGTGCCGCGACTCGAACCCGCAACCCTTCGGTCACGAGCCCGGCGTCCTACCACTAGACTACCGTGCCTCCGTAAATAACGAACTGATGCCGACTTATAGCGCTACCTCACTACAATACATTACCAAAGGCACCCAGAATAGCATTCCAGCCTTAAATGCAGGGAATAACAAGCACCATTTTAAGGGACTTTAGAATGCTCCAACCCCGGTTTCGAACCCATTGCCTGTCTCACTTCGGCGAGAGTTCTGCTTCAAGGCAAACTGATGTATTGCAAAGAAAGGCACTTAAGAAACAGAAAAGTAGTAAGAAAGTATTGAAGACAAATCTCACATTGGTTGCCTCTTACAGTGAGTGACAGCAGGTGTATTCTTTTCCCATTTCCGACATGCAGTAAGTGACAGCAGGTGTATTATTTTCCCATTTCCGACTTGCAGTAAGTGACAGCAGGTGTATCCTTTTCCCATTTCCGACCGGCAGTTAGTGACAGCAGGTGTATTCTTTTCCCATTTTCGACCTGCAGATAGTGACAGCAGGTGAATTCTTTTCCCATTTCTGACCTGCAGTAAGTGACAGCAGGTGTATTCTTTTCCCATTTCTGACCTGCAGTAAGTGACAGCAGGTGTATTATTTTCCCATTTCCGACCTGCAGTTAGTGACAGCAGATGAATTCTTTTCCCATTTCTGACCTGCAGTAAGTGACAGCAGGTGTATTATTTTCCCATTTCCGACTTGCAGTAAGTGACAGCAGATGTATCCTTTTCCCATTTCCGACCTGCTGTTAGTGACAGCAGGTGTATTCTTTTCCCATTTTCGACCTGCAGATAGTGACAGCAGGTGAATTCTTTTCCTATTTCCGACCTGCAGTTAGTGAGAGCAGGTATATTTTTTTCCTATTCCGACCTGCAGTTTGTGACAGCAGGTGTATTCTTATCTCATTCTCCGACCTGCAGTGTGTGACAGCAGGTGTATTCTTTTCGCGTTCCCCGACCTGCAGTGAGTGACAGCAGGTGCATTATTTTCCCCTTCTCCGACCTGCAGTAAGTAACAGCAGGTGTATTCTTTTCGCGTTCCCCGACCTACAGTGAGTGACAGCAGGTGTATTATTTTCCGTTCCCCGACCTGCAGTGAGTTACAGCAGGTGTATTATTTTCTCATTCTCCGACCTGCAGTGAGTAACAGCAGGTGTATTATTATCTCATTCCCCGATCTGCATTGCGTGACAGCAGGTGTATTATTTTCTCGTTCCCCGACCTGCAGTGAGTAACAGCAGGGGTATTATTATCTCATTCCCCGATCTGCATTGCGTGACAGCAGGTGTATTATTTTCTCATTCCCCGACCTGCAGTGAGTAACAGCAGGTGTATTATTTTCTCGTCCCCCGACCTGCAGTGAGTAACAGCAGGTGTATTATTTTCTCGTTCCCCGACCTGCAGTGAGTAACAGCAGGTGTATTATTATCTCATTCCCCGATCTGCATTGCGTGACAGCAGGTGTATTATTTTCTCATTCCCCGACCTGCATTGCGTGACATCAGATGTATTCCTTTCTCATCCCCCCACCTGAAGGGATATCACTTTCTTAATTTGGTAAAGTCGATTGTTTTAAAACTCATTATTGGAAATTTGTAAGAAATTGACAATTAAACACAACTCTGTTTTTTTTAAAGCATTACACACGGCAAATACCATTGTCACTGTCACACTGTTGCATAAAACCGAAAAAAATATGTGTTTTTACAATATTAATAGAAACAATCAATAAATTGCTTTACTGCTGTATCATTAAGGCTATAAGAGAGATTTGACAGACTTTAGAAGAATGACATTGTTTTTATTTTGTAGAACATAGTTGTATCATTTGTTTCAAAATATTCAGAACATGATAACTCATGTTTACTGTTCCTATAATTTTGATTTGATATCAATGACACGTTGCAGATACTACTCAAGGGATTTTGAAAGGCTTTTCACCACACCAATATTTATAAAAAGAGCTGAAATTAAGCACATTTCGTTGAAAAAAGTTTAAAGAAGCGCTTCAGAGTTCAAGAAAAGAACCATTAAATATACCAGATCTTACTACAAGCTAATTATAAGCACCTCCCAAACACGATACAGAAAAAAACTTGTCTTATGAGGGAAAATTACACTTTGATATTAGCCAAAAGGCCGATAAGCTATCACTTTACTGTCAAAGTCATGCAGTCATGTTTAGCTCGGCCTTAACTTACGCGGTCTTTTGTTGGTAAATAAAACAAAACGTAATGACCAGTGTAATATGATTTGAAGATAAATTAAAAACATTCTAGAGTAACTAATTACCCGAGTATTACAATTTAGAATTCACCAATATCACTCAGTAATAGAAATGCGTATGGTAGTTATTGGTTTATTGTTGAATATAGATTATGTGGCATTCAACGAGAAACCATATCAATTTTCTGTTTATTTCATTCAAAAATACTAGCAACAGCAAAAATCTTGCTGCATCAAAACAGTTTGGAATTTACCTGTACTAACATAATATTTTATGCCATATTCTAATCATGTCATAATTGACAAGGCTGTGGGCTGTTTTGAATAGGTAACTCAACACCATTCTACAGTTTTCTGCTGCTAATTTTTGAAAATATTTGTGTGCCTAATTAGTGTCAATTGTGTAGGTAAATTAATGCCTAAGTTTATGTATGTAACAAAGATATACCAAAACAAACACTTATTCTGCCGTTTCTTCATTGGTAAAATGTATTTCTACAGAAAACATGCTACAACTTTGAATGAAGAATGTGCTTTTCTGATTTTTTTTGTTTTTAATACCAAAAAGCGATAATTTTACAACTAAGTTTGTCACCATGTGAATTCGATATGTCACTGACAAAAATGTGCACGATTGCATGCACACCAGATACAAATTTTGGAAAAAATATTTTTTTTGAACCCGGGATCGACATGTTTAATCCGACGGTCACGAGTTTGTGTAACCGATTTTTCAATGTAGCTAATTCATTTTCAGTTATAGTTTTGCTAGAAACAAGGAAACAACTCATTATCTCGTGTTATAAAAGAAGTAGTTCTCTTTTTTGCGTTGATAACATTAAGTCCAGAAAACGTTACAATTATATATAAATATTAGGAAACTTTCGAAAGCTTTCTAATAGCAGATGGTATATCGTGGTATATGGTATTCCACAACGTGGCCGAAACCTGCCCAAAGCACCCGTTTACATGGGTCACAGTACACACAAAAATGATTCTGACTCCGACCGCAGTGATCGTGACGGCTGATACAGGGTAACAAGTTCCTGTAGGTACTGGGGAGCTGTTCTATTCAGTGCCTTGTATGTGTACACCAAAACAACGTAATGTACTGCGACCTGTATCGTACAGGTAACCAGTGCATTGGATATAGCAAAGCTGTGCTGTGCTCTCTCTTTCGAGTTCGAGTAACAAGCCGTGCTGCAGTGTTCTGGACCCTCTGCAGACGACTAGTTAGTATGTCAGATATACCACAGAGCAGGGCGTTACCATAATCCAACTGAGAGGTAACACGTGAATTCATCAAAATCTGGTATGCATCTGCAGTTATAAACTGCCGAATGCAGCCGATGTTCCTGATCTGGTAGTAACGGCGTTCACTTGTTTCTCCATGTTCAGTAAACTTTCAAAGGATACAATTTTTTTAACAGCTGGAACAGTCTCAATAGTTCTGGCACAGACCTTGAGCTGGAGAGCCATTGTTTGCTGACACTTTGGGGAAAAGACGCTTGGTTCCGTCTGTTCCTGATTACACTTTAGCACGTTCATCAAGGTACTGATGTCTATCAGACAAGCTTCCAGACTTTCTGAAATTGTATCCCAACTGTCCTGTGGTTTGATGGCCATGTAGATTTTTGTGTCATCGGTATAGCAATTATAGCAAAGGCTATGGCAACGACAAATCTCTCCAATCGGTGTGGAGTACATACAATATTTTCGTGGTCCTAACACCGACCCTTGAGGAACCCCGAAATTTAGTACTTTGTCATGGGAGGTGGTAGATCCGATGGCAACACACAGTCGTCGTTCACTCAGGTAAGACTGTATCCAGCATAGTGCGGTATCAGTCACTCCATGAGAGTACTCCAGACGTTTATAAGTATGCCATATAAAGTATCATATAGTGTGAGAAATTGTCTGCTGAAGATTTCGTCTTTCAATGTACTTGTTTGTTGTTTTTTTGGTTTGAAGCTTGTTTTTGACACTGGTAATAAAACACAGTGACCTAGATAGAAGCTTTATACCGGTAACCTGTTATATAACTATTGTAATCTCTGTAACCACGCCTTGCTATTTCCTTTCCTTCCAGTTTATATAAATCTCAATTACAATACAATCTGAACAAAAAAAAAATGATCATATTTCTCTTACTCGATGTTATTTTAACGGAAACAAAGTCAAGACAAGAATAATGCAGTTGCATACAAGTCCTACGAATAAAAAATATGAAACAATGTTCATCATGAACTTTTATTAACAAAATATTCTCTATTTTTGTTCGGATTTCAGCGTGAAAAGTGACGAACTCGTGTATATACAGTACTCTCTTGGAGGCGTTATACAGAGTTTATGGCACATTATTTATACAAATCGTGTCTGATTGTTTATTCTTTTGAAAATGAAAACAAGAATTGGTCTCAGTTTTCAAACACCCTGTATATGAAATTTTTTAATATTTTATGAGCAATAAAAACTATATGCATAGCATGTAAAATATAAACAAAAAAGTTCAATATTAAACAAATTAGATTAATCTACAATTATATGACAACATATCCAGAATATATTCGCTTAAATATAAACAGATTTATTTTCTTATACATAAACAAAATGTTGTCCTTAAAACTAACAATAAAAAGACGGTTGTAAAATAAGTAAGCTAAGAATTTATATCAAATAACAAACCTATAGAAATGACGCACAGATGACTTCTAAAAAAGATATTTTGATAAATACTTGTTCACTTTTATTCCTTTTGCATTGCTACAGCTAGACGTAGGAATTATTTCGCGGGACATTTCTGTGATTGACGATACGTGATAGGTGTGATGGGACTATTGAGTCTGAAGGACCCAGACTACTTGCCTATAACCTCTTGCTATCAAACAGTGATGTCTGCCTCCATTACAGTTATAATACATGTAGCAAAAATATCTATCAATTTTAGGTGGAATTTTAAAATGTATCTAGGAAAGCAATATGGATTTTACCTCATTAAACCTTCGTTTAACGCCAGAGTCTAGAAGGGTATGTTTCGTATACTTTTTTTATTTGGAAAGGGGTAACTTTTGTCCCGCATTTACAGTTTATTTGGTAATGTACATGTCTTGATAAAAAGTGAAACTCATAATACATTTACATTTTTTTCCCATATATTTCATCTAAAAAGTTGGGCTCAATATACTTTAAATATACTAGTTCGAAACATATTCTGTTATTTTCTTACTTATAGGATATTGTTGTAATGATTGATAGAATAACAAAAGTCTTGTATACATAGGTTATAGGCTATTGAGGTGTGTGTGTGTGTGTGTGTGTGTGTGTGTGTGTGTGTGTGTGTGTGTGTGNGGGGGGGGGGGGGGGGGGGGGGGGGGGTGAAACCTTAAGCTATATCTATATACATGTATTTAGGAACTGTAAATTCGGGAAAGAAGTATATGGCGTTTTCTTACTGTGACATCGTCAACATATCATTTATTGTTTCAACAATTTTTCTGTAACACTGATACCACGACATCAGTTTATATACACATCCTGGGTGTCTAAAAAATACTTGATCAGGTTCTACAACGCAGGTTCTGCTCTGCTCTCAGAGTTCAGATACGTTCGTCCGTAGTACTAAAGCACTTTTTAATCGTATAACACTGGTTCTGGTGCTTAGATGACAGCGGTCAAATCGTATAACACTGGTTTTGGTGCTAAAATGGCGGTGGTAAAATCGTATAACACTGGTTATGGTGCTTAGATGGCAGTGTTCAAATCATATAACACAGGTTATGGTGCTTAGATGGCAGTGGTCAAATCATATAACATTGGTTATGGTGCTTAGATGGCAGTGGTCAAATCATATAACACTGGTTATGGTGCTTAGATGGCAGTGGTCAAATCATATAACACTGGTTATGGTGCCTAGATGGCTGTGATCAAATCATATAACACTGGTTCTGGTGCTTAGATGGCAGTGGTCAAATCATATAACACTGGTTATGGTGCTAAGCTGTCAGTTCATGTACACGTCTGTGGTGTCCAAGTAATCCCGGATCATGTTGTAACAGCATTGATACTGCTCCTGGAATAAAATATTGTCTGTGAAATATTATCATTATTCATAACGTCGGAACCCTATTAGCCGGATCCTATACACGTGCTCAGTTATCAAACCCCACAAGTTTACAGATGGATTAGTCCAAACGGGAATTACCTACAGTTTGTGTGGACACTGGATGTACGAACGTAAACACAAAACAGATATTTGACCTGAGTTTGAATAAAGTCATTGGCCTTGAACACAACACTTAAGCATGTACCCAGTAAACACATGACGTTGGATCAACGTTGGGTTAACGTTGTGTTCAGGTCGCGACGTCGACGACCTAGATCCAACGTCTATACGACGTCTAAAGCAAGACGTTGTATTCTTGTCAGGATCTGATGTCTTGTCGACGTAGTTAAGAGATCACAATTACGACCGTGTCTTAAAAATTCGGTACACATAAAAACACATACATTCGTTGATATTCATTTACATTTCTGTCTATAAAAAGGTCATTTTCCGAAATGGAATTCCTTCTGCAACGTGCAAAATCGATCCATTGAATCCATCGATTATCTCCCTTCAATGTATATTTTTACATTTCCGATAGAGGGCGCTGTATGGGACGAATTTCGAAAACTATCTTTTCGAAATTACGGAGTGTGTGATAAATTTAGTCTTAAATTAATTTTTTTTATAACACAAATGTATCTTTTCTCAACACGATCTCTCACCGTTTAACAAAAATAATTATGTTAAACAAAAAGGCGGGTTTCGGACAACATCCGGTTCGTGTGTTCTGAACTGACCGCCAACTGACCACTCGGCAGAAGTGAGAACTTCTCAATTTTAAACAAATCTACCATGTTGTTTGTCTCTGGAAGAAGTTTTGTGAACGAAACCAGGTATGTCAACGATGAAAAAAAATAACTTTACCATTTTTGTTGATCTAAATATTCAATCGTTGTCAGAATATTATTGTAAACAATACTTGACTGTAACGTTAGGCCTAATCAATATCCATGGCGCAATGAGTTAACTGTAGATACGTACGTCGTACGTTTTACTCGAATGCGTCTACAAAACATTAAATACGGACCTTAAGAGAATATGATTGGTATAAATAATTTCTTTCAATCAAAATGATACTCTGCAGACACAAAGCAATAAATATTTTGTATTTTTTAATTGCAGAAAGTGCCCTAAACGCCACAGAGCATGCTGTGCATATACACCAGATCAACGCGGCAGAGGGGAGATACCAAAATAAATAATAACATAAAATGCAGTTTGTGTGTTTTTTTGTTTATTTTGTATCTGTATTATTGCTTGGGATTCAGAAAATATTTTTTGTGGGTTTAAACCTGTATGTGTGTGGGAGAACTGGCTAAACGTCTTGGTAAAAGGGGTGTCAAAATATAAAAAAAAAATGATATCCACACTTGCCTGTACAGAATCCTGAAAATATCATTAAATAAACAGCTACATGAAGGTCAGGCTTATTTTAGGTATGTAAGACGTTGCTTAGACGTCGGGTTTCTGACGTCGGGACTCTGACGTCTATACAACGTCAGGTTTTGACTTCTAAAAACTTTCATTTTCAACCAAAATCCAACGTCAATCCAACGTCAGGGTCTGACGTTCATCCAACGTGTATCCAACGTCATTTGCCCACTGGGTATGTTCTACTAATATGAGTTGAGAAATATGATGCAATATGGACATTGGCTCCATCACTGTAAATATCGTCTTTTAGCTTTATAACATATCATCTTTACCATAAAAAGGTCTATATCTGTATAATATGACATGTCAATACACAAGTATTATTGACATTTAATTCTTTGAAAAGAGAAGGGCATTTTGATTTACACGTCTTCAATTAATATAAGTATGTATACTTACAAAATTAATCAAGAATTCTGGACGTCTCACGAGTAGTTGACGAGAAGTCTGAAATATGTCGACCTCTTCGTCAATCTTCATCTGGTCTCTTGCATTGCTGATACAGCAGAATAGTCCACTCTGGGAATATCCATCTCTAAAAGTATAAAATGTTAGTCAATAATACGATTACTTAATTTAAAAGGACTATATCGCCATTTCCTGTAGTAGTTAACCTTCATAGTTCCATTTATAAATACATCGTAGCCTAGTACAGAGTTGTAATAACGTACACCTATATACTAGACCACAGCAAAGACCTCTACTTTTTCAAAGGCCTGGTTCCACTTACTCAAAAGGTGAATAGCTTAATCACTTTTAAAATATGTTTAATAGTTTCGTCAATATACAAAATTTCCAATTTTTTCTTGTAGTTTTGCTCTACTGAATTTTTGCTATTTAAATTTTTAGAAATAATCTAATGGTCGTGTTTTAGAGACACATTAAAATAAAAGTTGCGTTTAAGCTAATCACTTTTTGAACAAGAGGACCCAGAAGTAAGTTATTAGCATCGTTACTTTTTGTACCAACAAACCAAATTCTCAAATATCTGCTTCCTAATTTCTCATTTGCGTAATTTCTTCGTGTGTGTTGGAACACTTTTGACAAGCATTTTCATTCTTTTGTCGACAGTACGAAGTCATACATGGACGAAATGACCATATGGTTAAGCTAATGTTTACTTTGACTGCGAACTAAATTCTGAAATAAAGTCTTCCTTACTTCATATCTAGATTGGTGACTCTGTTCTTGTACTACTAGTCCCAAAGAATGTCCGTAACCGTGCTACTGGAACCTTTAACGGATTTCTAGTGAAAGCTTTAGGTCTAACACAACTTAATCAGCCAATCGGCAAGCGTTTCATACGATTGTAATCCTAACTTAAATTTGTCCCGGTTAAATACAATGCCTCTGAGTAATTAAAACGGGTAATTGTTGACATTGTTTAAATTAAATGAAATCTACAGATATATAACTTCAGAGATAATGTATACTTTTTGTAGAACTTAATATTATGTGTAGTCGGATTGATATGGTGTCGGTAGTCAGGGGGTGTTCCCGTCCCACTTCACCGGATTGGCTTGTGAACCTCCGATTGTTAAAAGCAGACGACGCCTGTATTACTCTTATACGTCACTTAACCAGCCAAACAATGCCTTTTGAAGCCTTTGTCAGCTATGAATCTAGACAGTTGTCACTAGTGTTGAACTATTAAATCTATTAGCTCAAACGATTAGTAAACCCATATAGTAACTGATTTAGTTGTACGAGTCCTTTTGAGTGTTTCCTCTGACAACAGTATCACGATCACGTACTAAATATTTGGTTATATAACGTACCGGCACATGACTACTGTCGTCTTAGAATCATCCGACTTTCGTCTGCTGTCAACAAGTTCAAGCAGCTGAAGTAGACAGGACGAATCCTGAGGGCCTGATGAATCTCTATCCCAACCAGACAGGTGAAACACGCGAACTCTCTCATCAAATTCATTCACCTATTTACAAATAGAGTACATGTTTGAATATTGTCATATGCAGGAACTGATCTGTGTTGTTAAGTGAAACTGACTTTGTATTTAGCTCTCAAAAGAGTAAAATTGCTCATTAATCAATATCGAGGAAAACAAATGTTATGTATATAATTGAACTTAGAATTTGTTACCTGGTTTTGAATTGTGATTTCAATCAAATCAACATTTGCTATTGTCGAGGACTCTCCTTTCTTTTCCAACGTAAAATGTCCAATTGTTTTATTCTTTCCGTCCTGTGGAAGCCAGTCCTAAAATATAGAGAGACTTTATGTTTGAATATGATTACGCTATTCACGAATAAAGCAATGCTACCAGACTGAAACACGTTAGTTATATCATCAGATTCACTTCTTTTCAAAACATGATTGTTTGGTTTGTTTGTACTTTAAGTCCTATTTACAGATATGTTAATTTAGGGACAAGCCCCAGGTAGGTCTCGAACTCGCGACCCAGTGGTGGAGGGCTAGTGGTAGAAGAATGTCAGACTCCTTAACCACTTGGCCACCGCGGCCCCATCGCGATAGAGTGGACGGTTTTGTATATTGACGGTAAAATCATCATTAAGTTACAATATATAACATTTGATTTATTCTGTTTCTACAGATGCATTTAAAACAGAACATATCTTGCACTTTACAAAAATACAGTTGTTTAAACTTTGAGTAATTTGTATTTCATATCCAAAAGAAGATGAGAAGAACTAAGTCCTACGGTTGAACTCGGTTAACATGGCACTTCAAATCCAACATTTATTTTAACCATTTGTTATGGTATAGGAATAGTGATGTAACAAAATACAAAAAATAACAATGGTCAATACCTAGTAGAGTAGGTAGATATGGTTGTTATGCAGGAGAAAAACTCATTTGCTTTATCCTCTGTATACCAGGAGAAAACCGAGATTTGAACATATAATCCTTTAGTGGAACTATTCTTCCCGATTATAATTGCTGCGGTGCTGCCCTTTATTCTGTGTGACATGAGTTTCCGATAAGACATAAGTGTAAATACGCAGATACAACTTATATGACAATGACACAATTACTACAACTCAGCCTGACCTTATAACTCACCAGTTGCCTTCACTTATAACTGGTTTTTGGTTATTTTAACATACGATGACAGTAATCTGGTTTCTTTAATTACAGAACAGTTGACATAATTGTAATAAATCAGACACTTACAATGGCGTCGGTCTCAATGATGACAATGGTTTTACAGTTGTGGTCCATAATCATTGTTAGCATATCCACCACAGTGTCCCCCATAGGAGTCTGAGTGACGATGTATCCAGTTTTCGATGTATAGGACTAGGTAAAGGAAATAACTATTTTGACACCATCAATGGTAATTGAGACATTTTTTTTTATTAAGATATACATTATTACAACATATTGTGTTGTTGGCAAAATCTTTTGATATATACATATAATATATTTGTGTATGAAAGCAATATGGTTTATACAACAGGATATAACACTCTGTAAAAATGAACATCAAATTAAATGTATGTATCAGTCCAGTTTTGTTAGGAAACGTTATAGACACAATAACCACACATTGTTGATCTGGTATACAAGTATTACTCTTAGTTAATATATTTGAATATCTCGTTTAAACAGCTTTCTTAGTGAGTTCCAAATTGTACACTACATTTTACAGATAATCTAACACTGATTTTGTATCTTATACTTGTTAACATCAAGTCAACCACCCCCATACCGGAACTGATACTGGTTTTATAAATGTGTTATATTTATTTACAGAAAGTAAAATCTGTAAGAAGAACAACCAACTGGCACAAGTGAAGAAACAATTGCCTTTTCTATGAAACTTTTACTTATATACAATGACGGTTAAGATTTATTTCTACATCTGGAATGTCACAGATGATGTTTCGGTGTTAAAACAGTGTTGCTGGACATCATCTAACAACAGAGGGAATTCGAACAAAAAAACAGTTACATCCTTCATACAACAATAAACCACTTGTTAATAAAGGATAGAGTGTTACAGTAGACCCACTTACTAACACCAGTATATATATATGTATGACAAACCATATTTTAAAATAATCATCCTTTTATTGATATTTATTATACTCCAGATTCAAATCGTCTGAATTACACCAATAACTTACCAATTCACACGAAGATATCACAAAAACTATCTGGGGGCACAATACAAGTACTTACAGGAACCGCTACAGCGTTGATGTAGTCTGTCCTGTCACTTTTATGTGATCGTAGGTACGCCCTGAACTTGTCAGCTGAACAAAACAAGGATACATTTCCTATATCATATATTTATCAAATGTGAAATACAATTAGCAACCCTATCGGGGTTTTGTACTTACTATGATAGAATCAACGTTGCTAAGTTGTTAACGATTTTTTGTCCTATTCATTGGTATTATGATATATAATAAAACTGATTAGAAAAGTAGGACAATAGTCTGTTATGTCATGTTTAATACGCTACATTTGGTGTCTTACCTTTTACCTCACCGTTCCATGTTACATCATATTAATTGAACTACGAATGTTTACATACCTGCTAGGACAGTTAGAGTCCTGTTTTTCTGTTGGTTGACCGGTAGTAAAGCAGCTTTACAGTCAGCTTCAGCGTATTTTGGTTTTAGGGTTTGTGTCAACTAAATAAAGAAATCAAAACATTGAAGCGTACATATCTTTCAATGATACTGATAATTCGCCCATTTTTTTTACGTTATACAAAAGTAATGCACGCGTCAAACGTGTCGTTATGTTACCTGACCGACTGGCCTCGTGGTAGAGCTTTGGCGGAGTGTAGGATTTGTATTGTTCACGATGCGACGAAATTATTAACTTTATTTGACTACGGGACGTTTTGCCCATCGATATAGGTGTACTAGATGGTATCTAATAGGCTACTAGCTGAGTGAGGTTCTTATAACATGTCCCGTTTAGGTCCAATGTGAAAGACGCCTGCGGTATTTCCCTCGGTGATGGGACCGATAAGACTATTGACAGCACTCAGACAATTACTTGTGCACAACAAGGACAAGACTGACTTTCAAAGGTCGTATACCAGAATCCATGCAAGAATTCTCAAGAATCAAATATGTGAGAAACTGGGAGGAATTATGGAAACGAACATCAGACAAAAAACGTGACAAATCAAAGAAGCAATGGGGTAGGGGATGGGGGGATCGGTTCCCGTTACTCAAATAAAAAGGACTTGTGATAACATGGTGGCCTATCCGTAAACAAAAGTATACAAAAGTGTCAACTAAACCGTATCTCGTGCTCGACAAATCTAGGGTAAAAAAAGAACAATGAAAAGAGACCCTTAAAAAGTACATGGAAATACGACCAGATGTTACAGAAGGGTAGGCGTTTCTGCTTCACCAACACCACCCGCTATGTAACTCTTCACACCGAGAACTCGAGTATAGTAGTGACAACAAAACTATACGGCTCACTTATAAGCATCATAAAAAACACCGACTATAGAGATAACTATTCATCATGCTCCATTTATGGAAACATTTAAAGCTTGTCCGTCAGCAGTCGACTTATATCACAAAAAATGAAACTGAAGAGGAAGAGTCTGTAGTGTCTAAGAAGGGTTTATACGAAAGGTTTATACAATGACTTTATTGTTATTCAAAGACACCACATCGTGGATATAAACTGAAGGACTATGCAAGAATTTTCTTACTTGTCCTCTTAAGCTCATCACTAAACAGTTTTGTAAGAAAATAAAACAAATCAGCCAAGATACGGGCATGTTTCGTTCCTATAGAAATGCCTAGTCTACTGGAACATATCGCCACAGTACTCAAAAAAGATAGTTTCAACCAGGAGAGTCAGGTCATTCTCACAATTTCATCCTCAGGATATTTCATGTGGTCTTTTTTCTGCAGCCAAAACGTCCCTCATTCGAATGACATATAAAGTTTACAATTTCGTCAAATCGTTGTACAGATAAACATTACAAATCTCCCGCTCCGTCATAGCTTGACAAAAGGACCAGTTGCACTTGAAACGTTACGACACGTCCGATACGTACATTCTTTGTTTAAAGGTAACACTTTGATAATATTGTTCTGAGTACGCTCGATTCTATCTCGCGAGAATCAAGTTTTTCTTTCCTAGACAGAAAATAAGACCTGATCTTTGTTGATGTTTGTACACAGTAATACAGCAAAACCAAATGATCAACTTGTGTGTGTTTTTAGTTACTGCTGTAGGACACATTTACATTGTGTGAGTAATTGTACACCATTCCCGAGCTTTGATTGAAGACTAATGTAGACGTTTTTCTTTTGTTCATTCTTTACAAACTCTTTACACATTATATACATTTGTTTGCCTGATCCTATCAAGGACTTCAAACATATCCACAAGTGATTAGAGTGTAGTCAACCATTGTCATGTAACATGATAAAGAAGATTATAACAATGTAAGCATCAACAAAATTAAAATTCTTGAGCAGTGAATATTTTAACCATTAATTGAGTTCTCTTTGAGAGTATATCACACACTCTAGCTGCTCGTTATGATAATTTAGACCTACATAAACTATATAGTATTTGGTGTTAACGTTATGATAATTTAGACCTACATAAACTATAAAGTGTTTGGTGTTTACTTTATGATAATTTAGACCTACATAAACTATAAAGTGTTTGGTGTTTACATTATGATAGTTTAGACCTCCGTAAACTATATAGTGTTTGGTGTTTACGTTATGATAATTTAGACCTACATCAACTATATAGTATTTGGTGTTTACGTTATGATAATTTAGACCTCCGTCAACTATATAGTGTTTGGTGTTTACGTTATGATAATTTAGACCTATACAAACTATATACTGTTTGGTGTTTACGTCATGATAATTTAGACCTGCATAAACTAAATAGTATTTGGTGTTTACGTTATGATAATTTAGACCTACATCAACTATATAGTATTTGGTGTTTACGTTATGATAATTTAGACCTACATCAACTATATAGTATTTGGTGTTGACGTTATGATAATTTAGACCTGCATAAACTATATAGTATTTGGTGTTTACGTCATGATAATTTAGACCTACATCAACTATATAGTATTTGGTGTTGACGTTATGATAATTTAGACCTGCATAAACTATATAGTATTTGGTGTTTACGTTATGATAATTTAGACCTACATAAACTATATAGTATTTGGTGTTTACGTTAAGTTAGTATTTCAATAAAGTAAACAAGCAACAACAGTTGTTTTTCTATCGTCAAATAAATGATGTTAAAGATGTAAAATATATATCTACGATAAATTCTATTAATTGTATCAAACAATAGAAGGTACTCATTAGATTTTACATCTATTTCGTATAACTATTGATAAATTGAAGGGATTATCATATTACCTGGTACTCCTTTCTGAGCTTTGTTTGGTTCGTGGGCCCATCATTGGAGAGAGCTTTAAGGGTCGTGTGGTACTTCATTCTTGGAATCAAAGTGTCCGGCATGTCAAAGGCTTCAACAAGGATCTGATGTATGGCTATATATTGCTCCTGTAGATGCAAAGATCGATTATTACTGGCATTTAATTGCAAACTAAATGTCATAAGCGGGTAATCCAGATAGCGCTCAGTGCTGCATGTATGTTTTCTGTTTGACAATTGAAATCCTAGAGATTTTGCATCTGATATATATCCATGCTATCTCATTTCATGTACCATGCATGTTATTTTTGTTAAAATTAAATTCCTATTTTTATGCCGTTTAAGAGATTGAAATGAGCTCACGTAAGACGTCCCGGTAATGGGCTTTCATGCGTTCCGGGTAAGTATAGTAAATTAATGAAGTGTTTCTAAAGGATTTGACTATTTCACGCCATTAACCACAGCAAGTCAATATCCCGACTCTTATTTCGGTCAAATACATGTTTTAGTGACAGCAAAACCTTAAGGTTCACTAATGATTGTATTCAAAAGCATTGGCCTTTTTATCACACAAAGAAATTCATTTAGCATACGAGAGTATGAAGGCGACCACCTTATCATTGTTTATCAACCTACATGTTTGGAGACCCTGTTGTAGGTTTGTCCGTCATCAGTCGACATATATCACGAAAGTCATGATTTGAAACAAGATATTTTTGTTAAAAGGATGTTATATAAAATATAATCGTCGAACAACTATATTGGTTTTAAGTACCAAATACCAGGGACAGCAACACGAGAGTGAGGTCATGGAATATCTTACGGCTGTTTGAACCATGTTGATTCTATCCTTCCGCATAGTTTTGATGTATTGCATGACGTCAATTCTACCGAACTCTTTCCCGTAATCCAGCAGAGCATCAAGTGCGAGGAATGTTCCTGTTCTGCCAATACCAGCACTGAAAAAGAGTTCCTCAATGAACCGGCTGTTAACTTACCTATAATTCTTACCAACATCAGCACAAGTTAAATAGACAACACTTATATATATAAACCATTCTTTCAACACACCAGGCCGAAAACCAACCGCCACAATGAATGAGGCGAAGCGAATTTTAAGAAATCGCAAAGAAGATTGATGTAATAAAAAAAAACACTTCAACTTACCTGCAATGAACGACCATCTTTCCTGTCAAAACGTTCTCGTATTGTTTCACGCGGCGGTGGAACACGACAAGTTCGTTTGGATCCGGGGTCCCGTGGTCAGGCCACGTGGTGTAGTGGAACTGGTGTATTTGTCGTACTGACTTCGTCTAAATAGATAAGGAACAAACTATATTGTCTCTATAAATGAACCGGCAAAATTATGATACCATTTAAAACACATTCTTTTACAAATCTTAATATCAAAATTATCTTTACATTTTAAGAAAAGAGTATTTTCCAATTTATATATAGTATTGATGTGAAACAGAAAAATAAAACATTTATTAAGTGTTGTTATTTCAATATCTTTTTGCTTACCTTCTTTTCTGTAACAGTAAGATCCCTGATGACATAGAAGGCATAAGCTCGCTCCCGGTCGAGGACAATGTTAAAGTGTGTTGTAGACAAAGGTTCTCCCTCATCTGGCCAGTACTTATCGCATTTTGGCTGAAAGTTACATCCACACAAAAAATATATTTTTACGATAGAAGATTTACAGTGTTTATTGTGGTGTATTCCTAATGTTACAAAAGTTATTATTGAAATATCGTATTGTATAGGCTGTTTATTGAAATGTATGTGATTATATGATTACCAACTTAGCGAAACAAGATATGATACGACATGGTATCAACATCAATTTGTTTATATTGTTAGTATGTTTATATTGTTAGTATGTTTATCGAGAATAGATGTGTTTTTAATAGTGTCCTATATATATAGGTATTTAAAGTTTCAACTAGATTTATTTTGCAAACCATTTCTTACAACGTTACCTACCCTTGATCCTTCTATAAGATTTGTCAGCATTACAATTTTGCCTGACTTTAGTTGCCAAAGCATGCGCCAAAAGTCATTAATGGTCCCAAGTCTTGGACCTGCACAGTAAGATATACAATGGGAAACATATTCATAAAAACAGATGCGAGGTCAACAGTTCAGTGAAATTTATATTTTGATTCCTTGTCATTTTCGTCTTAACTTTTGTTTTGAATATGATTTTTTTTTTCTTGCCGATGTCTACTGATTTTACGACAACGTAAATTAAAAAATCTGAAAATGTTTTTTTTTTATTTGCAATCACTTCTTCTTCAATGGTCCCATATAAATCAACATGTCTTCAATCAAATGATTGTAAAGCATTTCATATTCTAACTACACATCTAACAATACAACCAAACACTTTAACCCTGTTTACCTTGTGTGGCGATGTATTCCGCAGTTTTTGTTACGCTCTGTAATAAAAGACAAAATTTTAAATATCAACAAATATATTTTGATTACTGTTGAATATCACCGTTGCAATGTATCATGACAAACTAAGTACTGCGCTAACATGACTCGTTTAGCTTGTACAACGATGTCCGTATATTACTGGTTTAGCTTGTACAACGATGTCCGTATATTACTGGTTTAGCTTGTACAACGATGTCCGTATATTACTGGTTTAGCTTGTACAACGATGTCCGTATATTACTGGTTAGCTTGTACAACGATGTCCGTATATTATAATTGAATCGGTTCAGGGCAGGATACTTCAAAACATGGTATATGTACACATTTCAAAATAGTATGATTGTCATTTACTGAACAGACGCTAGAATCAAAATACAGGTTAGACTTCATTACACTTCGAAATTTCTTCAACTTCAATATAGTGGCGATAACTTTGATGACTTTTATGAAGCGAACAATGGCAAAGGCTACAGTTTTAGAAATAATTTCAAATAGATGGTCGGGTGGTCTCTTAGACTTTCTATCATCCTTTTTCAAATTGACCAAAAAACTCACGTTAAGCTGTTTTTAAAGTAAGTTTAAGAATGCATACATTTTGATAAAACCTTTTTCTCTCTGTTTGTAAAATATAAAAAGCTTTGAATGTTGTATAAGGTTAAAAATAATTCTGTACCATAGAAAGATACAAATGCCAGGAAGTTAAAGCATAAGCAAATATATAAACACATTTTAACTGCAAATTTCATATCTTACTAGCAACTGGTTTTAGCTAATAAGGTACACTTGTATGTCAGTTCTGAGAAAAACAAACAATAACATTAATGTACATATTACAAGTATATGTAAACTTTTCAAAAACCCATTGAAACAATATGTTCTAACTACAGCAGTAAGCCACGGGCAAATTAATTACCCCCGCGCGGCTATTGGGGCTATTACAATCAGAGGCACAGACGCCATCTTTAATTCCAAAATTGAACTATCGGCCTTCTGATATAAAGTATATCTATAATGTATCACTTTTATAAGATAAGCGATGTCGGCCCCATTGAACTCAGGTTATAACCGTTATTGTCTAAATCAATCAGCGGTCGAAGCAGCCATCTGGATTCCCCAAAACAATTACATGCAAAGTCTTTGTTGAAATGGGTTGATCAGTTGAGGTGGAGTTGTCCCGACATCATTTTATATACAGACATGCAGACAGACAACCGGACGGGTGGACTGATACAAGTATACCCTTTAACGTCGTTACGGGGTATAATGACGCAATTTTTAATTTGGATATCTACACTGCAAAGATGGTATTGTACTAACATCTATGTAGTTGGCATTGATGTAGTCGGAGGCAGGATCTTTTCCAGTGATGTCAAGAACCACACGAGAATGATCATCTTTGGAAGAATAGAAAAGTTTATTAGTTTTACCAATTGCGAACAATTCAAATATAGTATACAACGCTTTCAGATCTTCTAAGACGTTGGACATACAGACTTGAGTATGCGGAGGCATAAGTCAAATGAAGGCGATTGCGGTATCAACATTTGGGAATAATATTGTCTTCTGATGTGATGTCCTGTTTGAACCATTATGTGTAAGAGTAAACAAATACGCTAATGATACTCCTGATACGTGTATAATTGAAGCAACTAAGTACGATTTGTTTAAGATTTTAAGGGAGTTATGTAAACGTCTCAATTTTTGTTGCTTAAAAAGTGTCCACATTGTCACATCCAATAAGTCAACTAATTCACTTGATATTTTTTTCGTTATTTTAAATTCAAACAAATGATGGGGAACATGAATATTTAAGTTAAAGTTCTGACCTCCTCATTTACATATACATATCACATATAAACATTTCAATATTCAGACTTAAAAAAATTAAATAGTATCTTGATTTAGATTTCTTGTATATTAACAAAATACTAAAGATTGAAAAAAAAATAACATCACAAAATGGAGTGTCATACACGCATTATCAATTACATTTCAAATACTTACACGGGAATGTGGTCTTAAATCGATTCTTAGCTTTGTTTTGTTGTAACATCCCAATGCTATGATCATGTAAAGATCCAGACGGTATTGACTATATTTAACATAAAAATAGTTTGTTTATAAGCAGTATTTTATACATATGTGTTTTCAAGCACTTAAAATCATCATTATTTAAAATTCGCGAATTTCATTAGCAAGTATCAACACTTTAACCGTAGTTAAGTAACCGTATATGAGTAGGTTTTTGATCAAAGGCTTGATATCATAACAAAAAGCTTGTAAAACGATTTTCATTATAAACTTAGTACCTTGTATTCGACCTCAAAAGCCTTTGCCTTGTTTTCCATCTTTGTTTGTACTAAAGATTTGAGTTTGGAGACAGGAAATCCAACAGGACCGGAATTATAGTAGACGCTTTCTTCTGTGCCGGACCTTCTGGATACTTGCTCAGCGTTTTCATACACGTTTGCCATGGCTTTTTGTGGTTCATCAGGATCTTCCTCGGAAACTGTTTTAATCAAATCCACTTTAACCTTTAGAACTCCCGAAATTTCATTATTAGTTATATTTCAATAATTATCGATAAAAGTAGATATGAAATGTAAATTAAAGAGTATCACCTAATGTATTGCTGTAGATGTTTTCTCCGCGCGACTTAGATTTGCCACGGTCAACATTCGAGCCAGTTACTGCTAGTGGTTCACTGTATTCGTTGGTACGGCCGATATCATCAAAGGAGTCGTGTTTCCTATCGCCTAATCGACGCCTGTAGGTAAATAACAGTGGTTCAAATGTTCTGCGGAATGCATGATTAAATTAAATATGACTAAATTAAAAGTCAATGTTTGAGAGTTTTCAAGACACAGACGTTCAATTAGTCTACATATGACAACATATAGTCTATAATGTTGTTCTCTGCAGTTATGGTTCTAGGAAAAATGTTTCATTTAAGCTAATCGTTGTTAAAGACGTACGTTTTTAATTCGTCCAACTCTCGCGATCATAAGATATCAGAAATATCCAACAAAGACCGCTAATGAGACTATAATTTGAAAATAGACGTATCCCAGTTATGATTGTTTTCTTTTTAAAATATTTACTATATATTCTAAATAAGATAAATAGTTTTTCTCTGTAAAAACGCGCTGCGAATTCAGAGGATAAATGTCGATTGCAAACCTTCAATAACTGTAATCAAACTCATTCTACAATCTTGTTATGACAATCAAGCAATAGAGATATATCTTATTGCGTTAAAAATATATTCTAATACACCCAGATAGATTAGTACATTCTAGATGGAACAAAATCTATATCTAATAAAACCTTAAAAAATCATACGAGTATTTCACCTTCTGATAATGATAACTACAACAATGGCGACAACAACGGCAAGGAGAACGCCTACAACACCTCCAACTATTGGTCCGGGGTCTGTCGTTGGATCAGACATCTGAACTTGTCCTACCAAATACAACGGTAAATCCATTGAGATTTTAGATGATTTGTGTTACGATTTATTATAAAAAAATTCTTTGGTAAATATCTAGCCTATGTTTAAAAGATAATTGGCAACATATACTGGTTTAAACATAAACAACTAGATTTTACGTCACAAGCTATTTTTGGTACCAATTGGCTTCAAGAAACAATATTTTTTTCCAATTAATAATATTTGTTTGTCATGACAATATGTCAATTTTTGAATTCTAATTAACCGGTGTCATGAATGTAAGACAGGATTAAGTTTATACTTTTATGAGGATTTTTCTTTTTTTCAAACTTTACATTTTGATTTATAAACAGGAAAATATTGCATAAATGATTACTTTCACAGAAACTGCCTTCATATCCAGGATCACATTGAGTCTCGCACAAGCCAGATTCTAGTTCACAAATACTGCAACGGCCACATGTCAGGCTACAATTCTTCCCGTATAAACCCTTCGTGCAGACTTTTAAATAATAAAAACATATTATTACCTATACGAATAATACATAGGCAGAACATTTATAAAAAAATATGAAATAATTACTAAAGATTAGAAAAATATTTTGACATATTTTTCTAATTATAAACGAATAATATAAAACAGTATAACACTACAGTTATTTTTAGGATATTTACTTGTGCATTCTCCGTTGTTTTGGTGGCACTCAGTACACTCGCTGTTACAAGGTGTCGAACAGTTCGTCCCGTAAAATCCCCCTACGCAACCTGCAATTTATATCAAAATAAACTCATGCGAAAAGACACATACTGTTACATGATTGCAAAAAGTTTCCTATATTTCATATCTTATTGGTATGGTATAATGTGTTTTTCTTCAAGCGCTGTTATTTTGAAACATAATTTCGCGCAGTGTTGAATATCTGAGATTTTTTAGTTATTAGTTCTAAAAAAGAACCATGTACTATTGTCTTGATTTCACAGATCCACCTTACCGCGATAACTACAAATACAGTTGTTACAGTGATGCATTTAATAGCCCTGAACACAATATATGTTTGAAAAAAACACACAAAATAACCAGTGGACATAATGTGTTTCTTCTAATCCTGTACACAGGATATATCTAGAGTATCTGTAGATAAAATCACTATATATACGAATTAACAAGCAATGCAATGTTAGCATCTTACCCTGCGGAATACCTCTATATCAGCCAAGTTAAAAAGATACTTTTTTTGTATTGAAAACAGTTGGGAATCGAATACCTATCCGGTGACAATGTATTTATTGATATTATTCCAGCATGAACATATATGTCTGTCCAAGAGCTCCTTAAGCGTTGCTGCAATCCTTGAATTACACAAGTAACTAGTGAAAGGTAAACCTGACTTTGTTGTCAAGCCGCGATGAGTAAAAATTAAAAAAAGTAAAAGCATCAACAACACGTATTTAGTTATGCAGCAGTTGGTACAGGTTCAGAGAAAAAGACTCCATGCATGAGTGTCGCAACGCCAATGTGATTGCAGTGCAAAGGCAATTTACCTGTTATATCATCTAAACAAAACTTGGTCGACAACCAATCGTCAGCGAAACGGCAGACCCCGTTTAACGACCGCTGCATCTGCGTAATCGCATAGGTCCGTCAAATGAATTGCGAAAACACTCCATGGTAGTTGTGTTTCTACACAAACTATCCGAAACCGGAAGAAGTTTGCTCGATAAAATGCACGACGCATTCACATCTAGACACAATGTCACCATACCACCGCTTAAATTGAGCCCGTACCCACGATTGTAATGTGTTAAGCGTATTTAACAATATGTTTGCTACGGATTGACCTAGACTCTGTTCGTCACACGGTGATTGTCCTAGGCTCTGTTCGTCACACGGTAATTGACCTAGACTATCTTCATCACACGGTGATTGACCTAGACTCTGTTCGTCACATAGTGATTGTCCTAGGCTCTGTTCGTGACACGGTGATTGACCTAGACTCTGTTCGTCACATGGTGATTTTCCTAGGCTCTGTTCGTCACATGGTGAATGTCCTAGGCTCTGTTCATCACACGGTGATTGACCTAGACTCTGTTCGTCACACGATGATTGTCCTAGGCTCTGTTCGTCACATGGTGATTGTCCTAGGCTCTGCTCGTCACACGGTGATTGACCTAGAATCTGTTCATCACACGGTGAATGACCAAGGCTCTGTTCGTCACACGGTGCTTGACCTAGACTCTGATCGTCACACGGTGATTGACCTAGACTCTGTTCATCACACGGTGATTGACATAGGCTCTGTTCATCACACGGTGATTGACATAGGCTCTGTTCGTCACACGGTGATTAACCCAGACTCTGTTCGTCACATGGTGATTGACCTAGGGTCTGTTCGCACACGGTGATAGACCTAGACTCTGTTCGTGACACGGTGATTGACCTAGACTCTGTTCGTTACACGGTGATTGACCTAGACTTTGTTCGTCACACGGTGATTGACCTAATTGTAGGGTCTGTTCGCACACCGTTATTGACCTAGATTCCTCTGTTCGTCCCACGGTGATTGACCTAAACTCTTTTCGTCACACGGTGATTCGCCTTGATTCTGTTAGTCACAAGGTGATTGACCTAAACTCTTTTCGTCACACGGTAATTGATCCAGACTCTGTTCGCCACACGGTGATTGACCTAGGGTCTGTTGGCACACGGTGATAGACCTAGACTCTGTTCGTTACACGGAGATTGACCTAGACTCTGTTGGTCACAAGATGATTGACCTCGACTCTGTTCGTGACACGGTGATTGACCTAGGGTCAGTTCGCACACCGTGATTGTCTGTTGGTCACACGATGATTGACCTAGACTCTGTTCGTCACACAGTGATTGATCTCGACTCTGTTCGTCACACGATGATTGACCTAGACTCTGTTGGTCACACGATGATTGACCTCGACTCTGTTCGTGACACGGTGATTGACCTAGACTCTGTTTGTCACACGGTGATTGACCTAGACTATGTTCATCAAACGGAGCCGCATACCGATTTGCTATTTAAACTACCTGACTTGTCACCGCATTAACTTTNTTGTCGGACAGTCATTAGCACAGGTATCGCCATGCTTTCCATTGGTACAATCTGAAAACAATTAATAATATTCGTATTTAAAATCTATATGAATATATATTGAGAACTAATTTACGTGGCAGTATGGATTTCTTTTGTCATTACCAAATGATGATAATACGTAGAAACAAACGTTTGTTCTGATAAATAATGATACATACTCCACTGATTGTTAGCCTGTATCAAAAAGAGGAGAATGCATGCAATCATAAATAGTTTCAAATAGAAATGAACAAAAAACTTTCCATTGCAGAATCCCGTGTTCTGGACACATATTTGGTCTTTACAATTTGTCGGACAGTCATCAGCACAGGTATCGCCATGCTTTCCATTGGTACAATCTGAAAACAATTAATAATAATCGTATTTAAAATCTATATGAATATATATTGAGAACTAATTTACGTGGCAGTATGGATTTCTTTTGTCATTACCAAATGATGATAATACGTAGAAACAAACGTTTATTCTGATAAATAATGATGCATACTCCACTGATTGTTAGCCTTTATCAAAAAGAGGAGAATGCATGCAATCATAAATAGTTTCTTTAAAATCATCCTTTTTCTTTTCTTTGTCTCTATAGCCATTAACTTTGAATCAAAAATGTCTTGTTGTTAGTGAGACAATCGCCACTTCATNCAGGTCACATACTTCACCATGCTTTGTTGGAATACATGCTGAAATATTTCAAATCTTCAATATTCAATAAGGTGGGAGTACGTATACATTGGAATTAATA